AATGGGCTTTATTACCCTATACAAAAATTGTATTCGCTTGTTAAAATAAAGAGTGAATGATATAATTATGACTCATATCAATATTATGCTGCAATATTATACAGAGAAAGAATAACCTTAGAGTCAAAAATAGTACGTATTTTAAACTTCATTAATTGTTTGTAATCGTTAAATCTAACTTAGCATTATCACTCGATCAAAGAAAAAATAAACAGTAGAATTTCATATCCAACTAAATGTATCTAAATCAGTAATAGATACATTTCTGCTGTTACTAACAGCCCGATCACATCAACTAGTAAATGTAGATACATAGGTAAGAAAGCTACACAGTGGTTTTGAAACATAAATGTAACTGACTTCGAAGCCGAATAATTTCGTATCAGCTTTGTGTAGCATGCATACAAATTACAAATACTGATTTCACTCGTCCTAAATACTGGGTACTAACGGGTAATTAGGTAAGTATATAATTAGACTACAGAGTATAGAATCAATGCGGATAGTACACAAACTAAAAAAACTAATTAGAATATTACATTGCATTAGGGAGGGACGTAATTGAGCCTCCGGTAACATCACTCACACGACAAAACACAATACAGGCGTTGTTTCACGCTGGTTTTCAGTGCTGCCATGGTACTGTGGTATCACTCCGGTCGAGCTGGCCTATACATGCTGAAGTGACTGATGACTCTCCCACACTTAAAAGAACATACTTTTATTGAGTTTTACACTTAAAAGTAATCTGATAACATTGGACCCACAGAAATATCTTTATTATATCTGTGATTGGACCAATATTAAACATATTTTCATACATAATTGATACTGCTAATATAAAGGGTTACAATTAGTTATACAGTTTTCTATTGACTTAGGTGACAGTAAGTTACTGAACATTCATACAATTAAAATAATAATTCTATTTAATTAAATTGAGACCTTATTTCCTAACCAGGTACGGTTACAATTCCATGTCATTTGTGAAACTCAATAACTGTAGATTAACAAACAAATAAACGTGAACATAAAGGTATAACACATAAGTTCACAGCTTGTTTAAGGTTTCCAATACAAACATGTTTAACATTATTCTGCCTCGAGACAGAATCGAACCCGCTGACTTCCTATTGCAATCAATCAAAATTGTGCCTCAAAAAATACTGAGAGCGACCCACACAGAAACTAATGAATTATAGACGGCCAACTAATAACGAAACACTGCATAAGAATTACCTGATCCTTAAAACTACTGACATAAAGTTCAAAGTTCTGTTGAAATAACTTTTACGCTTGAAAATTTTGTTCTGTATCCAATGCTTCTTCGGAAAGTAACTAAATCCTCAGTTTACCGTTTAGGCGCTTAATGGTGTGTGTTTTTTATACAGAATACGAATGTATCATAAATTATGACATATAACACCCAGTTTTTGAAGGAACGGGCGGCAACGATATGTCACACTGGCCCTTACTATTGGCCTTCGTTTTAATCAGCTCTAAACTCGAAGTATGCTTCTTACGAGTTGCATAAGTCAAGCTGATTTAAATTTTATTTTATTAATAGACTTCAAAATAAAGGAGGTGTTTCTCGATTCGATTGTATGTTTTTTTTGTGTGTATGTTATACGATTATTTTATTAAAGTGGTAATGCAACCTCTTTATATTACCATTTAAATTAAAGCGGATTTGATTACATTGTATAATTAATAAAATAAAAACTGCGTTTAAAAACCGACTTCAAAAACTTCAAAACTAATAACAAACAAAAGTCAAAACTAAGAAGCAAAACAATAACTTATTAGTACTGATATGTTACCCACCCACTGATAGGTTAGAAGTCAGTGCCATACGTTTTATACAAAATTATTCATTAAAACATTAATACATAGATACCTAATTTACAATTTTGGGGCCATTAAGTTATATTATTATAATATGTGATGCATCAGCCTAATGCAAAAAAAAATTCTCACATAAAAACTGTCAACTAGAAACATCTCACATTCTCATCACTTCGAGATGAAGACACTTGGTAACATGTTCGGATGGTCCTTTGTAACTCGATACGTCGCACGAGGCGCCGGCCGCGATACCACTCATGCGCAACACACAAAAACACAGCACATCCTTTGAAAACAGCTCATCGGATCAAATTGTTTACAGGTTTAAGAATATTTGGTTTAATAAGTTCTATTGTATTAGATATAATGAAAGTTTTAACATAAATATTAAGTGCTGAGAAAATTCCTACTCATAGCAAGGAGTCTGGAATCAGGCCCGGTATGTGACAATAGGCTCACCCATTATTACATTAGAACTCATAATATAACTGGTGAATTCCGAATGTAAAAGTAAGTTTACTACAGAGCACGCTTCACGCGTTCTTCATGGAGATTGAAAAGTGTGATACAATTTGTATGTTATGCTAAGTGACGTGGTAAGATATTTCATATTAAAAACGAACTTCAAGGCCAAGACGCACTAAGAACTGCATTTACAGCTTAATTAAAAGCAAATTAGAATTAAAAAGAATTTACCCTTTCGAGATTTTTATAATATGCTAATCCAGTGTTTACTTAAATGGGTCAACCATTAAATGGGTTACGATTAACCAAAAAAAATTGTAAACGTTTTAATGAAATCTTTGATTTTCTTTAACAAACTATTTAGGTAGTAATAAAGCACTTCCTACAAGAACAAAGTAGCAACTGGCTGGTAAGTACATCCTTGTTCAGTGAGAAATTCATAAATTTGCGGAACAATGCATTTCCAAGTAGTTCCTGAATCAACTGCAGAACTGTAGTTATTTATTTAAGTTTCGTACATCCAGATGGTCTGCAGTTTCTCTTCCCAAGAAACAGTTCAAATTAAGTGCAGATCAGCTCATTTCCCTTGTACTGTAAGTCTTATAAGGTAGTAGTAGTAGTAGTTACTAAATAGCCAGTCTTTCATGAAGAGTTTTGCTGTATGTAACCTTTTAGTTTGAAACTTGCTTTGTGATAAACAGGAGGTACAGTGGCCGACAATAAGTATTGCACATATCAACCTTTAGAAAGAGACAAGACTGAGTCACTGTGTAAGTATCTATATTGCGCATGATTTAGAGGTTTTTTAAGGGGCAAATCATGAGGGAGGGAGTGTCAGACTCTTACTGACAAAAAACTACCCTGTTCCTACTTCTGCCCTTCGAGCCGGAGCCCCGGCAACCCGTTAAGTCCTCCGCGGCTCCGTATCGGCATCAGTCCTATTGGGCCCCATCCCTAGAGGTCTGATGGTTCTTTAATGCGCGCGCGGAACGCGATGCGCCGTACGCTATGATTTAGAGGTTAAAACTAATCGAGCACTCTACTCAAATCATAAAAAGGTTGAAACAGAAAAGTTTCGTCTAAATGAATTATCGAGATATCACACATTATGTTTTTCGACTTACGTAATTAGTTGACGAGGCACTCGACTAGTTTCAAACTATGCAAGGGGCTCATATTCATGAGCACCGACACAGGACGCGGCTACTGTCGGACTGCTACTGGCAGTAGTAGCCTCTAGCATGGCTTGAAAATAGTCTAGGTCCTCCTCAAATTATTACATGAGTAAGCCGAAAAACAAAATAAAATTAATTTAGTATGTCTCACGAAAGTTATAATAAGAATAAAGTAAAATTAAAATTTCTTTTTAGAGTTTTGCCACCGCAGTACTTATTCGTTTTTGATAAAACAATAGCACTAGTTTGTACAATAGAATACTACTGGTACTTGGAACAAAATCTATGTTCTGATCTGGACTATCATATCCCTATTGAAAGCCTACATATAAAAAAATAAAAATTATAAATATTTCTGACTAACAATTTTTACCATTTCACAAATAGTCAGTGTAAAATTCTTTTGTCTTGTCGTCCTATGTTTTTATTACGAGTATGTTCCTAAAACAACGTAACTAACAATAACGGTTATACAAATAGAATGCTAAAAAATTCTAATTCAATAGAACTTTGTACGCAACACAATCCACTATTTTGTACTCCACAATTCAACATATCACGAAAAAACTACACGTTTTTCAGACAACGTCAGTCTTTTTTGTGTGTTATTTCAATTTTTGCTAGCTTTTCTGTCATAAAAATTGTTTTAGTAGTTAGTACCTAGTCGAGTGATCACTCGACTGTGCTACGGTTGAATGCATAACTATCACAGGAATTTCTGATGTTTGACAGTTACCTCGTCTCTATAACAGAACGAAACTTTTATAGAAATTCACATTTAACAAAGCATGAAGTAAGGAAAAATTTATGTATTATCTGAATATATTATAACACTAGCTACTTCCGCGCGGTTTCACTCGCTCTGCTTTGCGCCTATTAATCGTAGCGTGATATTTTATAGCCTATAGCCTTCCTGGATAAATGGGCTATCCAACACAGAAAGCTATTTTCAAATCGGTCCAGTAGTTTCGGAGATTAGCGCGTTCAAACAAACAAACAAAAAACAAGCGTTTTATAATATTAGTATAGATTACATTAAATTAGTAGGTTGTAGGCGTAGGCTCCGCGACGTCATCGCGTCCGCGCATGTTGCCCACGAGGAAGAGTCCCTCTGTGGCTCGAAACTAGTAGAGCTTTCGTCAGTACATTTACGTGAGTAAACCGTACGTCTCGCGATACTTATTACAACACTTCAGTTATCATAACATCCATTTAATAAACTGTAATGCATGTTGAACATAACGCAACTCACCGAACCAAACATAACCAGTTAAAACTGACCTTCGAATCTGCAGAAATGTCATATAAAGTGAAACCACGATAAATTGGTTACGTATAGTTCGATTTGTAGCCATGTCTACATTTGTACGAACTTATTCCTATTCAGAAGGTAGCAGCAGTGATCACAAATAAATAAACTTACTAGTCAAAATCATAATCTTCTTTTAATTTCGATGTAGGTACCTACTCGAATAATAGATGTTATGCCATGATTACTGTCTCAGAGATAGGTACCTATTAAGTCTTTTTTTTAAGTGGGGAAAATCATCGAATGACTGCTCCCGCCTGGGTGAGGCGGGAGGGAGTGTCAGACTCTTACTGACTAAAAACCACCCCGTTCCATCTCCTGCACGTCGAGCCGGAGCCCCGGTTACCCGTTAGGTTCTCCGCGACTCCGAATCGGCATCGGCCCTATTGGGCCCCATCTGTAGTGGTGTGATGGCTCTTTGAGGCACGCGCGGAACGCGACGCGCCGTACGCTCGGGTCTGTTTCTGGTCGGACGGGGAGCCACCCATGCTTGCAGTCCGCAGGCCCACGCTTACGGTGGCCGGAGATCGTAGCTCTTCTATACCTCTAACATACCTTATATACATTTTAAATTTATACATACAATAATAAAATCGTAGGAAAGTGAAAACTGTGCATTGAATATTTTTTAAAAGAATGCTTGGAGTGCGATCTACAAACGACCAAAGCTAAAAATATAGCTTTTAGAATTTTTGTCTGTCTGTCTGTATGTAGTTATGTCTGGGCTAAACTCAAAAAGTACTTCCTACATGGATTTACTTCAAATTTTTATTATCACGCTATCGCCTACGAGGGAGAAGCGGTGAATCACTATTTCAAGCGGACGAAGTCGTGGGCACAGCTAGTATTATATATTTTTATACAAATAAAAATAATGAATGAGTTATTCCAGTAAATTAGAAAGGATCATTTTATTTATAACACATTGTTGACACCTTCAATGGCATCAAGGCGCCATTTGTGGTGTAAAAATATAAGGTAAAAATCTTTCATAATATGTTATTATGGAGCTAAATATATCTATGTCTGGAAATATCATCATTAACGTCGCACCCACACAAAGGCGATAGTAATATGCCTTACATAAAAAAATATTAGAAGGTACGGAATATCCTAACATTACATATACCTACAACACTTATTTAACCCGTAATGAAATATCATCCCCTAAATTTGTTCATTTTTTTATAGCAAAAGCTGATAAACGAGCAGACGGATCACCTGATGGTAAGCAATCGATACCGCGCATGAACACCCGAAACACCAAGGCGTTACAAGTGCGTTACCGGCCTTTTGGGAATTGGGAATTTGAGGATTGTGGAGGATTCGGGGATTCGGGAGACTAGGGAGTGTTGTTTCACGTCGGTTTTCTAGAGGTATGAGGCCGTGGTGTCACTCCGATCGAACCGGCCCATTCGTGCCGAAGCATGGCTCTCCCACACTTAATAGTTTTAGAAAACTATTTTCCTTCATACAAAAGTATGAACGTCGGAAATAAGGTCCATAATGTGGAGTTTATATAGTATAAGGGTTAGTGGAGAGCGGTCACCGGTGACCGTTTGGGTTTGGCGTAATTGAACATCGATTTAACCCGTTGGTGTGAGAATGAAATCATTTGTGACACATACTTTTCAAAATAAAGACATAAAATGCATACTCCGTGAATTTCATTTCGTTATCGTCCTGAATTAAAATGGTTCTGTGTCGGTAATACAAAGAAATAAAATGTTTAAAACAAAAAATAACTGGTGAACCATTGGAAAAAGCATAGTTACCTACATCGACAGCGCGTACGAACACGCCATGTAATTCGCGAAGAGATATTTCTCGCTGCGTGGCACGTGCGATGCGAAAAGTGCTTACAAAACGTCTAGTGTTTCATGTGCGTATATCCACGAAATTTTCTAAAACTAAAAAATGTGATATCTTTATTTTTTGTATCTACTTTTGTTTACGAAATAGGTTTTGTTATCTGTTTAATTAATTAATGATAAGATATCTTTATAATCTTCCAGGTATTAGCAATATTAAGCGCATCATAATTATAAATCCATAACAATATTGAATGCATATATAACACGTAATCATTATTATGTTAAGTACTCACGACCTAACAACAAGAAATCTGGAGTTAACGAAAGTAACTTAAAAACATAAAATATGGCGTTAATTATCTACTTTTTAGTTCATAAAAAGTAAAAAAATTTAAATAACATCTCCAGTAATGTTTTCTGACTGCCAAAGTCTGGTCTGTTTTTTACAAAATAACAACTACAGACACTTTTTTATAACTTCACTTTTACGTACTACTTGCACTATTCTCGTAAATTGTAGCAATAGTCACCATTGCATTGCTTTTATATGTTTACAAAATATAAATTTTCAAATATAATTTAAGAACTAAAACCGATGCTAATTTTAATAGGATGCTACATTCCACATGCAATAGAGTAATAAGTTATGGCAGATTTATTTGGCTTTCATTATAAGTGAAACATGAACTTCTTTTCTGCAACAAAAACATTACTCAGATACCTAATTAACCAGTAATGAACGTACAATAATAACTGGAATCACCATTTCAAAGTTTATTACCATTTACACTTATTATGGTTTTACTGGACTGGCCAATTATTTTCATACAATTACGGATGAATTGCTCAACTTGATACCTCTAGTCCTTTCCATCATCGTACTACAAGACAATCTTAAGAAAATTTTAAGTGTGGGAGAGCCATGCTTCGGCACGAATGGACCGGCTCGACCGGAGTGATACCACGGTCTCACAGAAAACCGACGAGAAGCAACGCTTGCGTTGTATTTCATCGTGTGAGTGAGGTTACCGGAGGCCCAATTACCCTCCCCTTCCCTAATCTCCCCAATCCCTGAATTCCCAACGATCCTCAAACTCCTAAGGATCTTCCTCCCTGGGTGTCTTCAAGGCCCGATAAGGTAGCTTATAGGTAGACGTCCTTCATCGTAGGTTGCATCGTCGCTTACCACGTGGGGAGATAGCGACCAAACGTCGACCCATAAACTAAAAAATAAAACCAGACAGTATCTTGGTTGTGTTTCGTCGTGTGGTAAATGAGGCCGGTAAAGCACTTGTAACGCCTCTAGTGTTACGATTGTTCATAGGCATCGCCGATTGCTTACAATCAGGTGATCTGTCTGCTCGCTTACCCGCGTATAACATAAAAACTCCAATATTACTTCTTGGCAGTGGTGCATTCATTTCAGATTCTTGACATCCTCTAAATTAACAACCGCTCTGTGATTGTAATCAGTAAAAGTTGGATTTAATGAGGTGTCGATGATTTCCACACGTTTAACAAATACTTACAAACTATACTTACTATAATTCTGAAATCAATCACCTTGATAAGACACCCACAGATTAAAAATCGCTAACAAGACTACCCTAGACATAATACGTATCTAGTAAGGAGTAGTTCCACAAAAACCTATAGAGCTACCTGTCTTAAAAATTTAAATCGTCATCGCGAACGTGAATCGGTCAATCAGTATGTAACACGTAAAGTTGTATTGTACATATATATACAGGAATGTCCGTTTGTAGTCTGTACGAGCGTCAAACCGCAGTGAGTCGGCAGAATCTTTGATACAATGCTGTGGTCCAAGTTTATAAAGTTGTAGCTTTTTGGGGGCCGTTTTTCGTGGTTTCTTGAAAAGTAATATAAAAAAATAAAAATGAAAACTTATACTAATTCATTTTTATTGTTAGGTGCCCTCCATTTTAAATATAAATAAACTTTCCACTTTAAATAAACTTTAAATATTTAACTCGTAACTCCAGTGTCATTTCACTATCAAATGAATGAATTTTCTATTAAAAAGGTCTAAAGTTCACTTCTTGTGGGCTGATAAAGATGATTTCTTTAATATACCGCCCTCTCCCATGATTTATACCAATAGTTAAATTGTTGCAACAAAAAGTATCTATACAGTCGCAATCATCAATAATGATTATCACCGAATCTGTAGTCGGCCATGACACGGGAAGTGACGTATGCGCCGGTGTTGCCCGCTAATGATATAAAATTATCGAATTAAATATGATGTCGATTTTTTCTTGTAAATAATTGGGGCGGTTACCAAATAGGTCGAATGTGTAATTTGATTTATATAATTTGTTCGATATCTCGATTTTTTTTTCGCAACACCTGTCAAGAATATATTTTAATAAAACTAATATTATATTGTGTAATCTTTTGAATTAGGAATATCTAATTCATGCCCATGTTTTCGGAGACAGTGTAATATAATGGTTCATGCACTATTATTCGATTATTTAACTGATGAACTTCAAAGAGAAAATATTATTTGATTGATAATAATTTCATTAATTAGAAAATCTCTTTCATTCTCTTACATTTGATGAAACTGTAAAAGAATTAATGTACCTTAGTATATAATAATTTGCAGTTTCCTAACAATTAATTTCTACCAATATTCACTATGTAAACTAAATTTTCTCGAGTAGGCCTCTTGTAAGAACATGGGAATTAAAACTAAGTTAGGTCATTCGCTGCAAAGTATGCTTTCGAAATATGAAACAAATGTTAAAATTAAGTAGTCAAAGTCCATATTATAATATTAAGAGTAGAAAGGTAAAAGAAATTAATGTCGTGGTGGCTTCTAGCTTTAAGATGCCCGCTTCACATACATGAGGGCCCGGGTTAAAAACCTGCCAACGGCAAGTAGGTACCAAAGAGACGTTTTCCGAGTTATATGTACTTTCTAAGATTACAAGATTGTTCAGGACAAACGGTGAAAGAAAACATCGTGAGGAAACCTGGGTTTATAATGTCTAATTATAGGTTTGAAATCACCAACCCGCATAGAGCAAGCGTGGTGATTAACGCTCAAACATTCTTCATGTGAGAAGAGGCCTTTGGTCAGTAGTGGCCACTTATAGGCTGTTGACGTTGATGTTGAAGGTGAAATAAATTCAATCAAGTTAATACAGGACAATAAACAATAAGGTGGACTCTCTTCATTACATAATGAAGATTAAGATAAGGGCATCCTTAATACGTAGATATTATTTAGTGTAATGAAACATAAGCTCGCTTTTAATGCCCATAAGTGAGTAATAGTCTTGCACTCTTCACTTGTAAGTCTAATTGTATGTATAGGATGCAATTAACATTCTTTCATTTTTTTAATCTTGATCTCAATAATCCCAAAAATAGGAGTAGGCAGCGGTGCACATCACAGCACTTAATGCCACTGTACTTGCAATGTAACACCCACTTTTCACTATGTATGTTATGAGTCCCATGTAATAGGGGGTGAGCCTATTGGAATATACCGGGCACATTTCCAGACT